AGCCCACACCACCGACGACAAATTTGCGCCGCAGTAAAACAGTCCCTTGGTGGAATTCTAACCTAGCGGGTCTAAGGAAAAACAAACAAGATTTATGGAAAAATTTAAACAATCACGTCATCTCCCTGATTTGGTTGAATATAAGAAAGCCAAAGCAATTTTCAGAAAACAACTAAAAGAAGACAAGTTAACAAGTTTAGAAAGTTCACAAAAGAAATAAGTCTTTTGTCCAATCCAAAAAAAATCTGGGCTATCATAAATTTACTGTCCGGTATGACCCAGAGGTTATCGTCGAACATTTCGCAGCAAATTGGTCAAACTATTCAAGCGGCAATAGTTTTCACTCCCACTTTGTATCTCAAAAGCAAGACATAATCCTTAAAACATACGTTAAACAAACTCCCTCCTCGAGTGCCAAAAAAATGGAAACTCCTATCTTTAATAACGAAGTAATATCAGCTTTAAACACCTCTAAGGGCAAAACCCCGGGATTTGATCGAATTTCATATCAAATGATTAAAAATCTACCCAAACAAATGATACATCGTCTCATACGTCTCTACAACAACATCTTTGATAGTGGAATATATCCTCAGTCTTGAAAATGCGCCAAAATCTTAACTATACCCAAGCCAAACCAATCGACGACCGACATTTCTGGCTACCGGCCTATATCCCTGCTGTCATGTCTTAGAAAAATTTTGGAAAAATCATTTCCAAGCGTCTTGTGTGGTTTACTACTTTCAACAGTTTTGTCAGCCAGTCAGTAGCATTTAAGAGAGGGACAATAGACGCTCTGCTTTATTTCGATCACAGGGCGGCAACAGCCATCTTTTCTAAAAATCATCTTACATCGCTAAGTCTTGACTTCCAAAAAGCATTTGACCGAATCGGAGCCCACATTGTTTTAAAGCAACCCGAGGATTGGAAGGAAGGACCAAAAATTTATAATTTTACGAAAAGCTTCCTAACAAACCGGAAATTCCGCGTTTCCATTAATAATGCGTTGTTCAACATACATATCCTACAAAACGGCATACCCCAGGAGTCCCTTTATCCGTAACTCTCTTTACACATAATTTACGCTGACGACGTACTCATTTTTTCTATTGAAAAAGATATTACAACTATTCATAATATCTTCATGAACATCTTGTCTGATATCACCGAGTGGAGTAAATCTTCAGGTGCATGTATAGCATATGAGAAATGTAAATTATTTCATATATGTAAAAAAAAACGAAATGTAGGAATGTAGATTATTTAAGCTTTAATAATACTCAAATAAAAGCTACTAGGTGCCATACAATTTTAGAAGTTATATTTGACTCTAAACTTACATTTAAAGATCACTGCCTGCATGTAAAAAATAGTGTATCTAAGAGGCTTAGTATAATAAATTATCTCTCGACAAAAAAATCGTTTATTCACATTAAGACTTATATCGATATTATAGTAGCATTCATTTTATCAAAAATCGACTACGGAATTACAATCTATGGAAACTGCGCCAAAGAAAATCTTCGTTTGATTAAACCACCATATCATTCAGCTGCCTGCGGAAGTATTCGAGCACTTAGAACTTCTCCAATTAAAATAATACTCGCTGAAGCTGGTCTTCCGACGGTAGAAGAGCGTATTAGAACTTGCACCCTCAAACTTACACCAAAACTGTTTCTGTGCAATAACAAAATATTACATAAAATAACGCAGAAAGTGTCAAAATGCAAAGGAGTTCCAAAACGGCAATCTGCAATTTATCGTTGCATGCAAGAATCAAAAGAGATTGGTATTAATCTGTCGCCCTCTTTCCATACGCCTGAAAAGTACCCACCATGGCTCTTCAAAAGTTCTTCTTTAATACTTATCTACAATATTACAGCAAAGAAAGCACTACTCCGGATACATTTTACCAATTATACAGAAATGCTATTGATCCCTACATATCAACGAGATGGAAATGTATTTTTACTGAGGGCTCAAAAACTCATTCCGCTACCGCTTCTGCAGTTGTTGACAGCAATGGTAACACGATTAAGGCCGGTATACTTGCCCACTTCTGTTCCGTCTTTACGGCAGAAGCGGTAGCTATTCTTAGCGCTATTCACCACGCCACGAAAACGCAAGGGAAATTTATTATCCTCACAGACAGTCTATCAACAATATCTGCAATGCAAAATATTTGTAATAACAACCATTTGATGAATGCTATAAGGGACAAGTTAATAAATAACTCTAAAAAGGTCAAAATTATGTGGATACCCGCACACGTGGGGCTAAAAGGAAATGAAAATGCAGACAAACGAGCCAAACTAGCTGCGAGCGAACCGTTAATAACTTTTCCATACACCAGTAAAAAGGATATTTTTTCAAAAATTACTTCGTATACAAAACTAAGCTCCGAGGATAGTTAGAAAAATATTACACATCACTACACAAAAATAAACCCAAAAGGGATAAAACCAAAATACATATCTAGTGTCCTGCAACCCCCGCGAGATCACTAACTTCGTGAGACTTCGTATTGGTCATACGCAAATTACACACGAGTACCTATTAAACAAAAGCCCTAGACCCACTTGTATTTTTTGCCAAAACCAGGCTTTAACTGTGGAACATATTTTAATTAACTGCCGAACCATCGCTTTCCATCGGAAAAGAATTTTCAATTCATCCAACCCTTTATGCACTCTCATGTCACCATCCACTGCAAATATAAAAAAAATTAACGACTTTCACAGTATTGTATATTTTTCGAGCTCAAGGCCACATGAAAATCGAAACAAAATTTTTGATTTTACATTTGTTTTTTATTTGCCGATATTTCGACTTCAGTCTGAAGTCATCCTCAGGATTTTCGATTTTCATGTGGCCTTGAGCTCGAAAAATATACAATACTGTGTAAAACGAACGGCCAATAAATAAAAAGATAAGTTAACGACTTTCTTAAACAAATTGGATTGTTCAATAGAATATAGTAACTACTTATAGGCAATTGTAACGTTATTTAACTCAATTCATTGTATTTCGTAAGTATCTACAAGTAAAAAGCGGAAAGCCCTAGTAGCTATAGCTTTTAGGTAGAATGATAATTTTATTATTGTTTTTACTATTAATAAATAAATAAATACATTTTACAAACTATATATTATAAATACATATTTACTACGAATAAGAAGCTAATAATATTAAGAATCCACATAATGAAATTCCGCTCTGGTACCTTCCTTTTATCTGTCTGTATATCAATGTCCGCAACTGCATTTATAAAATCATACATAAGCAAACGTCAAATATTTAAAAATGCGAACGTCAAACATAGCTCGTTGTGGCAATGGGGACGGTTGTTTAGCAACTGGATTTATTAAATCTTAATAGATAAATCTCTCAATGGAGACATAGTATAATACTATGTCTCCATTGTGAGATTTAAGGAAGATTTAGCCCTCTGACGAGATTTGACGTTAAATCTTTTGAGATTTACCATATTAAATTAAATCTCGAAATGTAGTAGATTTAAGTTAAATCTTCGTCAAATTTTCAATAATATTGATCAATAAGTACACTTTGTTGGATGTGGCAACCACAAATTCACATGCCATAAGTAAAATGACATTTGTATTTTCAATATACAGTTGAGGACATTGAAATCTAGCCTATCATAATAACATGAATTTTCGTATTTTTAGGGATTTTTATATTTTTGTTAGTTTAGGATGAAAATTAGTTGTAAATATTACTACTTTTGTTGTAATAAATTAAGAAAATATTATTTTAAAAACTAAAAATTTAGAAGAAATGTTTTATAGTAATATCATGCAGAGTCTTCTCCGCTTTCTATATTTCGGGAATGGTTCTGCTTCGATAACATTGCACCAAATATCCTCTAGAACTCAAATCGCATTCATGATATGCCAAAGGCCCACGATTGGCTTTTCGGTTCGGTTCGGTTATGAATAAGAGAGTTCTACAAACATTTTTTCTTTCCGCAAATGTTTTTTACCGTTTTGATAATTTTTCTTAAATTCGGGAAAATGATTCGGAATATAGTACCATTCTTGACATTTTCCAAACTAAATATTTTACATATATATTTACCCCGAATAAGAAGCCAATAATATTAAGAATTCACATAATGAAATTCCGCTCTGGTACCTTCCTTTTATCTGTCTGTATATCAATGTCCGCAACTGTATTTATAAGATCATACATAAGCAAACGTCAAATATTTAAAAATGTGAACGTCAAACATATCCCGTTGTGGTAATGGAGACGGTTGTGATTTAGCAACTGAATCTATTAAAACTTAATGGATAAATCTCTCAATGGAGACACTAGTATAAGCATAGCATAATTTTTAAATTGCACAATTTTTGACTTAACTTCTGCTTCGATCGTGAAGTAATAAAGTTTCAAAGCATTTTTAGGTGTATTTTTATTTGTTTGCATATGTGACCTGGTCTACGGAAAGGGGGCTTAGGTGTCAAAAACTCAATTTTCACTTTTTGGTTGATTCGGATGGAAGATGAGATGCTTTTTCACGTGGTGAAAAGCAGAAAATCCTAACTTGCTTAGAAGTGTACTAAACATAATAATAATATTAATAATAATAATAATAATATTTATAATAATAATAATAATATTTATAATAATAATAATAATAATATTCCGACCAACAACAACACTTACTGGACCAACAACAACACTTACTGGACCAACAACAACACTTACTGGACGTCCGGCGCGGAGAACAATTAACGAGATAATGAGAAACTGACGAAACGAGTTGCTTACTTTGAACAGCTTTTCCACAGAAAACTAGTTTTCGCACGTAAGCTCCCTTTTCGTAGACCAGGTCACATATAAAGAAATTTTCGTGTTCTTCAGCATCTTAACTCCCAAAAGCTATTATTTCTAATATCTGGTAGAATTTTAAACATTTTAGCAATAAACAGCTACTATACTATTATATTTTATTGTACATTGTCTTTATATTGCAGGGAGGAACGCCCTAAACGCTCTTATTCAATTGGAAGTAAAATAGACAAAAACAAAATCAAGCGATTTGGAAATTCAAACGAGATTTTACATGACACGAATGCAGTTCGAGTCCGTGCATTTTCTGTTGGATCCCGGGCGAAAATTCCTAAATGTGATTTACAACGTGCTGTTATGTTCCCCAGATCGCGCCTTAATCAGAGTTGCATTAGCAACAATAGTTTGAATTTTGGTACAGATGAAGCTGGACATAAGTCGGATTTAAATTCTAGTTGCGGCAAAAAATCGACAAGTGCTCCTATTTTAGTTCAAAATTGCCCAGTTCCAATGGATTATATGAGCGATTTAATGGAAATAGATTTTTCTAAAAGTGCAAGCCACAAAGGGCATGGTAAAGGAGCTCTCGAACGCGTCGACAGTTGCTTACACGAATTAAAGGGACATCTGACATCAAAATATGAGAGTGATTTTTCTGGACCTTTATCTCTTAAATCAAAAGACTGTAGAGAAAGTGGTTATCTGGAAATGAAACCGATAGATTGTGTAATCGATAAAAAAACTGCGGCTAGTTATTCCGAGTGCTTAGTCAAAATGCCAAAGTTGAATGACAATTCAACAGTAACGTTTGTAAAAAGAACGGAAATTAAAAACACAGCACAAGGGAAAAATGTTCCCGCAAGAAAATCGTTGAATACCTTAAATGAAGTCAGTTTCAATCAGATAAAAGGCCGTTTGAAAGAGTCTGATTATTCAACCTGTGGCAACATTGATTACCTTTCGTCCATTTACTCCAACCTTTGGATACAGCCAAGTTCAAACAATCATAGCGAAGAAGAAAAGGGTTTTGCTGAGCTCGATGTCAAACTCCCAAAAAAGGAATATAATACAAAAATAATTTCAGAAAACCTTCAAAATAACAGTGAATATTTAAAAGAAAATGGAAGCAGTGAGCAAAGGTCAACTGGAATAATGGAGAAGTATCTAAATTTCGCAAGCTCATCCTCGATGTCGTCTGGCCAGTTATCAAGCCGATGCAAATCTTCGTCGGTGAATCCGTTTAACGACGGGCAGACTGCAATTACTGTAGAAGGTAATAGGGAAAATGAAAATTTACTTCGGAACTTTCCAATTGACTACAAACCGCAGATAACAAACGTGTCTATATCTGCATTAGATTGCTATAATTATGAACTGTATTATGCCAAGTTAGATTTGCCTCAGAGCTGTAGTAAAGAGGACGTGAAATTCCATAAAACCGAAAACGATCTTTCCCCAATTGTTAACACAGACAATGATTCTTATGCCAAAATAAATTTTGAGCACTCTTCCGACTCATCGTCTTCTTCTAAAACTATAAATAATTAAATTACAAGCTTAATGTTTGTTTAACCATAAAATGTAAATAAATTATTCATAAATATTTATTGCCTTTTATTTTTAATAGAACGTATGTCCGTAGAGCAATAAATCAGCCCTATCACAATACTATAATAGAAACTATACGAATGAGACTTTTTAAAACTCATTGCTATGTCATGGGCTATATAAATAACTTATCTTGGTTGTTTCTTATACCCAAATTTTTGTACTAATTGAAGTCAGCTATCAACTCTTTAATATTTATAAATTTTCTACTAAGTATTTACTTGCAAAACTACTTATAATTGCATTTCTGAAAATATTCACTTAATCGCACTTTCTGTCTCTCATTATTTCGCCCCCGGGTAAGTAGCAGACCACCAATCAATTTAAGTGTAAGTTTTCTTAATATAATCTTGCAGCCTCTGTAAATTTTGGCTGCACAGCAGAAAAAATTATGTTATAAACAGTGTGCCGCATACGTGGTAGATCTTCCGTAATTTTTTTAAATTTGAGGATTTACACACAAATTGTTTCTTATTGTCTGGCAATTTTTGTTCAAAGTACTGATCTTTTTAGTAACATTTGGAAATAAGGTGCTGTAAAACCATGTCAGCCATCACCTGCATGTCTAGTTCGAAATCGAATAAAGTACAAAAAACCATTGGCAGCCCTGTTAAATATAGGGCATAGTTAGCGTACGTGTTTGGGATGCGTTTGTAAATGGATAAATTGGTAAAAAGACGAATTCCTAATACGGCGTTTACACAAAACAATTTTTCCAAGACAATAACAATGCATTCACGGTCTCCGCATGCCCGACACTCATTTGGCACATCCGCAACCAGTCTGCTCAGGTACGAGTTCAACCTGCTGCAGTAGCCAGAGCGAAGATGGGCTATTGTGGTACGAGTCTCCCGAGGTAGAAGAAGCTCCATCTCTTCCACGTTAGGTGGTTGTGTGCCCAGAATGGCATTCACATTTCTGGAGTCTACGTAACTTGAGACCGACTCTCTGTGAATGCCGCTCAAGGCCTGTCAATATATTGTCAGGTCCAGAGGTTGATTTATGAACCTCTGGACTTCTTTCGTTAGTTCGTATAGATGCCTTCTGACGTGCCTTGGCGAGGGCTCCTATGCAAGCAAGAGTCTGTGCGGGTGTCCACGTTGTGGCTTTCTACTAAGAATTGCTTGCAGAGCATTGTGTTGTGATCCCTTATACGGTGTTCGTATGAGGCGATTTTACAGGCAACTTTTAGTTGAAAGCAACAATTGCCTGGTGTGAACGGCCTTTCAACTAATCGCTTCCAATGAAGATGGGCTGCAGCAAACTTTTGATTCAACTAATCGCCTCTAAAATTACTTGGAAAATCGCCTCATGCGAACACCGTATTATGGGGAGCATTTGCGCCTCGTCATGCAGGTGATGTCGTGGCAACATCAGAAGACATCCAGTCGCTGGCCAAAGTGCTGTGTTTTGAGTCGTCTGCAGCTTCATCCACTGCAGCGACCACACTGGTGCTGCGTTGTTTGCCAGCACCGTTCCATTGTCTTTGCACCAGGTACTGCTGGCTAGCGACTTGAGGCCCTTGTTGCGGCTCTGTACTTTTTTGACATTGCGGTTGTGTGCGCGAAGGAGTGCAGACTGTCGAATGTTACTCCGAGGATTTTCAGGTTATTCATCGTCGGAATTGGTATGTAATCAACGTGAATATACAGCTGCAATTTCATATGACTTTTTTGAATGAAAAGGTAATACTATTTAGTATATGCAATAATAACACTATGCGACAGTCAAAATCGGGATGGGATGAAACCAACGGGAAAGGTTATATCGGTCAAAAACAAGTTATACGTGTCCCGGCGTTTCGCTGGGTCACGTCTAGGAATCGAGATATATATATAACTATCATATAGGGGAAATTGTCACCTTTGGTGGTCTTTTTTTGACATAACTCGAGAA